ACATACCCCTCCCACAGAACACAACTGGGTGTTATCTTGCGATTTCTCCACTCTCCTCCTGCCGCCACAACCAATCGGCATGCAGAATCTGTAGGTTTTACATCTAAATCTCTCTTAAATGAGTCTTCTCTCCTCCCTGTCTTCCACTGTTCAAGTGTGGACACATTCATCTCTCTTGGGTTATATTCAAATAGTCTCCTAAGCTGACAGCAGAGTTTGGGAGTGGAAATTATTCTGGATAAGGTTTCCTTATGATCCTCCATCCTTCTGCATCTTCTTACTCTATTCTACCCAGTGATGATTTGCAAACCCGTTTACAATAGGAAAACATGGTCTTTACCTCGCCAATAGCTGATGAAATGAATTCGGCAGTTTGATTTTTTGCTTGTCCTGCTAATAAGGGAGGGTCCAAACACCTGCAATGGGGCAGAGAAGTCTCCAGCAAAGCCTGAACCCCCTGTCTCTGTGTTCAGTGGCCAAGGGTCAACGGTGGCCAAAAGCTCTGAGAAGCTGGTGGAGGGCCTCTATCTCCAAGGAGAAAGCAGAGACAACAGGGGGAAGTCGACTTGCCGTGTGCCGAGTCCCACCCTCTGCCGTGTGATATGGGTTCCTGGATAGGGAGGGGATACGGCTGGGCGCTCCTTGCTCAGGATGCCTGTGTTAGCACCAGGCCGAAGACATCTATTGCTCGACTGCTCCTGGAGTCCAGCTCGACCCCAGCATGTGGGTAAACTCTCCGAAAATTCTATGAGCAAAACTCCCCGTCTACTTTGGGGCAGTTATTCAAAGCCTCAAGGGGCCACGGCTGAGGCAAAGGGCTCTGGTACTGATAACAGCTGTCCTGCCTCTGGCCTCGCTATTCTTCAACCACACAGCTGCTAACGCGATGTTCTACCCGAAGCAAAGGAGACCGTGTCCCTTCCCTGCTTGCCCTCAAGGTGAAGTCCGCGCTCCTCAGCTTGCCTCACAGGCCTCTCTTTACAACTTCAGCTTTTGGCCCCTCCTGCGATTTATGCTCCAGAACTTCCAAACTGCATACTGTTCCTTATGGAGCCACTGCCTGGAATGCCCTCTCCACCCAGGTGTCTACCTCGAAATTTTCGACTCAAAATTTGAAACACTGCTCAAAACTGAATTCTGTTGTGAGTCATCTCGGCTCTTATGGAAGCTCCTCTCCTACCACCAGCCCAGGCAGGTACGACTTCTCTGTCCTCCCCGGTGCTCCTCACCTTGGGACTACTTCTGTCACTGCCAGTGGCCCGGGGTCCTGTACGCGCCTGTTGCGTGCCCGCCTCCTCTGACTTGCCCCAGGCCGGGCCCCGCATCTCCCTCATCTTTACACACCTGGCACCTGGCACACAGCTGGGCCTCAACAAACACCAACTGGATGAAGACCCAAAGCACTGCAGGCATCGGCAAGGGAGAGGGACTTACAGGGTGCTGAGGCTCTGTAAGCACCCTTCGGGCCAGCGTTAAAGTTGAGTCAGGGCAGAGTTTAAAAGCTGGTCACGGAAAAAAGGGACATGGTGACAGGACACTGACTTTCTAAGCATCCTGGACTAGGGCTTGGGAGACTTCAGAGAAATTGATCATTTGGGTAAATATGCCATTGCCCAAGGCAGCTGGGTGGGGGTACCATCAAGACTATAAAATCTTATATTAGCCTCAGAGAGCAGAAACATCTGCTAAAGCCACAGCAGGCGGGCTGGCCAAGTTCAGCAACGGGTTAGCCAGGACAGCCCTGTGACCAACGGAAAGGGCCACAGAGGGGAAGAATCAATCATTCACACAAAGAGGAACAGGAGGGACTAGCAGAGGCAGAGGGCTTCCAAGGCTCAAGGGAGCCAGATGTTAGCGACCCAGCCGAGGAGGGGCCGCAGGGGGGTCCTCTGACCCTTCCAGCCCAGGTCTCTGTTGGCTCCCAAACTCCCTCACACCCTCAAGAGCCCATTGGCTGTGGGAGCCTGGGAACTTAGGGAGTTTTTCTCCTCTTCTCTGAGGACTTCGAGGTTTCAGCAGGAAGGTGCAGCTGGCCCCCCACTCACACGCTGCAACAGCCTAAAGGGAATGGGTATCTGCCAGCCAACATCTCTGTTGAAAGAGTTTCCTTTTTCATATCGACACTTCCACGAACTCCGAATTTGATCAACTCTTTGCTGCACAGTTTGACATTAACAAAGCATCAACACTCGGACAACCTGCTGGGGTCAGAAAGGAACATCTTAAAACTCTTTGGATTCCACGTTAAGACAGGCTTCCAGTCCCAATCTTTGATCTCTATTATAAAGCAGCACCAATAAAATAGTGTAGAGATTTATGGGCGAACTTTCATTTGAGCTGTTTCACACCTAAAATAACACCAGTGCTCCGGCCAACGGGCAGACAATTCAGCTTTAGGTTTCAACTGTTTAGGGGTTCTTTTACTTTTAAAACTTAATTCACTTATTTTAAAAAATCATCTTACATTTTACAATTTCATTGTAGTTCCCTCTCAGGGAAGACAGCCAGGAGACATTTGCTGGGTAGATGTCACGTCCTTCTGAGAAGGACAGGCCCAAAGTCAGTTAGACAGGTGTCCCCTAATGGACAGATGCCTGATTTTTGTCAAAAAGAGTGTTTTTTCGTGAAACGTAAATGGACAGTATTTCAATTTATATATCTTCCTGAGCATGCCCTGTTGTTAATGAGAGTAACCCAACACTGAACACTGTGAGTAAAATCCCCAAAAAAGGATTTCATTGTAAAGACAGTAATATGGTATTTGGACCTAAAATCTGTTTTATTGTATATTTCTAATCTATGGAATAATCCCCCATATCAAGCTTGGCCTGTAACTCTAATGTCAGTTACTTCTAAGCCAGTAGCACCAAATAAAGAGAAACTGGCGCCACATTCCCTACAGATGGGAAATCGCCCGGCCCCCTCCCCCACTGCACACCCCTCTGCCCCCATTTGATGAAGCTGGGAGAAATTCTGCCAAATGAGAAAGCAGAGAATCTGGAGGAAGAGGAAAGCAGCTCATCCAGCTTTTAAGAAGACCTTTATAGGCAAAGTAAAGTGAAAACAGTAGAAAAGTTCCTGGACACAGTCCTTCAAGAAACAAAAATGAGTAGGAAGAAAGGTCAGAGTCGTGGTTCAAAGGAATCAGAACACACAGCTGCTGTCCAAGGTTGTGGGCAGGCGCTGCCCGCTCCCGCCAAGCTGGGGGCCGAGCCGGGCGGCAGGGCCCGCGGCCACTCAGGGGCACATGGGCCCTTCATGCACTCTGCTCCCCACTTTGAGAGCTCAGCATCAGAGCCCCAACTCTGCAGTCCCGAAGAGAAATTCTAGAACTGTGACAATCACAAAACCAAAGCAAAGAGAATAGGAAAGGAAATGTACTTAGTTATTTAACCCAATTTTATTTTTCCATTTTTGGTTTTGGACACATAATTCCTCATTATAAAAGGAGAATGCAACAGCTAGATAAGAGAAAGCCACCTGCTTGGACGAAGGACTTCTAATTGTGGCTTGAACTCATAAATATTTGAATCTAAAGAACAGAGTTAAACTTTTCTACGTGGAGAGAACAATTCACATTATTCACTTTACGTGGTCTTTAAAGTCTACGAGATTGCCACTTCTGCTTCGCTTTCCATCCTAACATTATAGTTTTGTAGGTGTAAGGGGTTCTGGAGGCTTATCTCCCTTTCCCTAAGAGGCCTTGGGCCAACCCAAGGCCAGATTTGGCCAACTGCAGTTTTAGGCAGGGGGTATTCATAGGATGTCTCCAACCTGAGGTTATATTAAGTGTAAACAACGTACAAATATCAGAGCTGTGTTCTCAGGAGGGCCAAGCTGTGAGTGAGGGACCTGGCTTTTGATGCTGTTCCTTGGTCTGAGTAAGCTGGATACCTTTGCTAGAAGGAGCCAGAGTGGAGTGAAAGTCATCCCCACAAAAGCTTCAAAATGAAAACACTTTAAATATCTCTCTCTCTCTCTCTCTCTCTCTCTCTCACACACACACACACACAAGTGCACAAGTCGGAAAATCTAAGTCTGTGTGTTTTCGCTAACTGAAAGCTCGGTGCCCAGAGCAGGAGTCAGCAGCAGTCTCCCACTACCTGGGCCCTCTTTTCTCAAGGGCAACCACTACCCTGACTTCTGTTCACTCTGCCCGTCTTTGAACTTTATACAAACAGACCCATACACTGCGTACTCTTGTGCCTGGTTTCCCTCACCTTGTTTCTCTAGATTGCAGTTGGCAATCTAGAGTCCTACTGTGTGACTCCACCAACATTTACTTGCTCACCCTAGTGACGGGCGCTGAATAGTGCCTGGTTCTTTGTGTTTGTTTTCGGTGGCACCACCCTGTTATTTGAGTTTACATTTCCTAATATCGAATGTTGAGGAGCATCTTTTCATGTGCTTTTTTGTCATCTGTGTACCTTCTTCCATGAAATGCTTTTCTAGCTCTGAGACTCCAGATTATCTTGTCAAGGGCAGGTCAGGGGATGAAACTTTCTCAGAAGGCGTTTTCATCCCTTTCTCCGCTCTAGTGTGACAGTGCCGTAGACATTACAGAAATGAGTGCATGTGGCTAAGTTAAAAAAAAAAACAAACAAAAACTGTGGCTCATGTGGGCTGAGTCTGGTGAGACCTGCTTTGGAACCAGAGTCTGAAGGCAGTTACTTTTCCTCATTTCCTTCCGAACATGGGCACTGGTCTGAGTTACGTGGGAGGCAGGGCTGCCCTGGAACCTCGGGTGAGCACCTGTGTCCGGCCCTGGTGTCTCCTTGGTGTGGCTCTTCTTGAACACGGAAGGAAAACATGCAGCTGCAGAGGGCAAGCACTTTTCCAAAGAAAACCATTTTTTTTAAAGACCTCATTGGATGTGAGAAAAGATGCTCGGATAAGATGGCTGTTCCTGATTTTTTTTTTTTTTTTAAAGAAAGGAGAAACAAAGGAAGCAGACTAAGCAGAATGAGTCTCAATCCAGGGGACTGGGGACTGGTGCTTACCTTCTGAACCAAGTAGACACTTGTGGCTCTCTCAGCAGCCACTTTATCCAGAGGGGACCCCTCAGGAACGAAGTAACTGACGTCAGCAATATGAACCCCCACTTCAAAGTTGCCTGTAAACACAGAAGAAGGCTGATCAGCGTGGTACGGAAAGCGAGAGCCATCCCTCCCGGGAATCCTTCTCAAGAATGCATGGCACCCGCAGAGGCCACGGGCTCTGAGGTGCGGGCCCCCGTTTCCAGTCCTGCTGGGCAATCTGCTTGCCCCCGGTGATTTGCACGGTTCTTGTCCTCACTGTATAGTGAGATGGCGAGATCTGTGTCCCCAAGAAACAACCTTAACCATTTTCGCGAGACGTTTCCCATTTCTCAAGACCTCTTGTCTTTGCCAAAGAAGGCTCATTTGGGATGGGGAACAAGCCCTTTCAGGTTACTGGAAATGAGTCCACGAATCCTGTGGACCCTGCCTCTGAATTCTCTGCTCTTCCTGTCCATTCTGATCACAGCCTTTATGCTGAGATCTACACCTGGCCTTCCTGCCTTGATTCTGCCCCTTCTCACCTAGGCCTGCACACTGTTGCCTGGCATCTTCTCGGCCATGGATCTGGTGATGCCACTCCTTAGCCTGTAAGTCATGTCCTCACTCGGTCTCACCCCAATCTGCCTCACCGGGCCCTCCAGCACCCCCTCCACATCTCCGTTATGCAGCTGCCATGGGAAACCTCTTTCTAGTCCCAGAACATATCTTACCTCATCCCACTGAGAGGTTTGCTTGGCTCATGTTTTTTCTTATGTTTGGGATCATCTCAACAGGATCTGCCTATCAAAATCCTTCTTGCCTTATAAGGATCAACTGACAGAGAACCCCAGAACAAGAAGAGATTCTCTGCCCTCTGTTTCTTCTACCTGCTCTAAGTACTTGATCCATATATGAACATGACTTCCAGGGTCTTTCTGTCAGAGCACTCATCTCTGCCAGACCCCATGGCATGTCTTTATTGGCGTACCGATTTGCTGCCTCCCTCCCTCCCTCCCTACGGTGTGAGCCCCAGCAAGGCAGAGCCTCTGTGTCAAGTTCACTGGCGTAGGCACGACACCTGAAAGGATGCCTGGCAAATCACAGGCACTCTATAAATACTGGGCGGGTGGAAGAATCAGTAACTGGCCTCTCTGCCTGTTGTCTTTTCCCTTCTGGTAAAAGACCTATGTTTCCCCCCTTTCGGAACTGCCTTTTCCCCTCCTGGTACAGCTGCTTTTCAGCAGTTCCTGCCTTCCCTATAGTTCAAATGGAGAGATGGCCAGATGGTGTAGGCTGGAGGGGTTACGCCTAAAGTAGGCTGAGGGGATAGTCAGGTTATAAATTTAAGATTTACTGTTGAACATCCCATAAGTTCTCTCTCACAGACAGGATATGTGATCACACACACACACATACACGCATATGAAAATGGACAGAAAGGATGACGAGCGCATCACGGGCAGACAGAGGCACACTGATGGCATCAACACAAAGGTGAATTTGCATTAATTAGTAAATTAAATAATGAGAGACAGAGGGAGAGATGGCAGGGGGAGAGGGGCAAAGGGAGAGAATCTTAAACAGGCTCCATTCTCAGCGCAGAGCCCAATGCAGAGTTCCATCTCACGAACCATGAGAACCTGACCTGAGCTGAAACCAAGAGTTGGACTTCCAGCTGTCTGAGCCACCCATGAGCCCCTAATTTGCTTAAATTTAAATGTATGTGTGATATAATTCTACTATACCCATCCTTGTTCGGAGGATCTTCAGGAAATGGATCTCTCTCTGGGACGCCAGACAGTGAGGAGTGTCGTTAAGTCTGGGGCTGCCAAGGAAACATCTTTGCCACACAATCATGCCAATACAGAAAACAAGAGGTCTAGGAAATGAAGGGAGAATCACGATGACCTCATTTGAAGTACAGGATCGAGCCGAACTTGAAACTAGTCTACCTGTGGACTTGGCAGTTCATGAATCAATCAGCTCCCTTTCAGTTATGACTCACAGGAAGAGTCCTGACTGATACCCAGTTGACTCAGAAGAGCTTCCAAGCACATTGCTACTTGCTCCTTTGGCTACCTAGACAATCAGTCTGAAAGTGTCACACATTTTATCTGCACATTTTGGAGCTATTTATAGTCCTTCTGTTTCTTCTTCGCTGGGGGAGACACTTCTTCCCTTAGATTTTTAAAATGGAAAATTGTTTAAGCATGGGGTGGTTGAAATAAGGGGTTCAGGGAAAGGAGAGAATTTAAGAGTCCCCCTTCCTCATCTGCCTCACACTCAGGGACCACCCTCCTATGGGGCATTCGTCGGGTCTTTCCACCCATGCCTGCAGCATCAGTACATGAGGGAAAAGCTAAGTCTGTCTAAGAGCCCCCGGCTGCTGTGGGATAATATAACAGACCTAATTCCCACAGAGGAGAGGGCTGTCTGGAAAGAGAAACTGGTGTGGCTCAGAGTTCAGCGGCCTCACTCTGAGAGCCACGCAGCTGTGCTGTTGGGTCACAGAGAGCAAGGACACCTGCCCTGTGATGATCGAGGAACTCAACCCTAAGAGAACGTGGCCAAGAGACTCAGACGGCTCAATTTCCAGTTTGGATATTACAAGTATCTAAAACCAACACTTGGGGAAGGTAAAATAAAGTGTCTTCTTTTGAAGTCAGAATTATAACATATTGGCCTAACAGGTAAATATTGACTAAAGGAAAAGAGAGGATTATTACATCATGATAGAAGCCATAATTTTAAATTCGGCCTGTGTGTTGTTACTACACATGAACTTTCTGTCCTTAGTCAAAATTGACAAACTGACAAAGAGTTCATTACAGGAGATAAAACATGAAGCAGGCCAATCAAAACATATTCTGGAGGCTTAAATTTCACTCAGAATTCCCAGCAGAGCCTCTAAGACCAGCAAAAAGAAGCTCTCTTATTCTCTCCTTTGGACCTTTTTTGTGGAAACGCTAAGTAAATATTTTATTACATATATTTACATAGTGTGAACTTGCAGAACTTTTGAGGTAGTGGCACTGCAGTCTTTATTCCATGAAAGAGAAAACACAAATCCAGAACCTTCTGTAGTATACGCTGCCAAACCATTTAGGACCCATTTGATATTTTTAAAAGAATATTGTCTTCCATATAAAAATATTCTTTAAAATTTTTCTTTACATTAGAAGTTTTCACCTAGGGGGGCTCAGGGAAGCCCTGATGGTTTTGAAGAGCTGGGGAAGCAGAGGGAGGCCAAGTCCCCGAGGCTGGCCATGCCAGGCCCGCTTTGCTCAGTGGTGTCCCATGTGGAATGTGGCAGAGAGGACATCACAAGTGCTGCATCCGGGTAAATCACAAAGAGCACCCAAAGCAGGGGCTTAAAAACCACCTTGTCTAAGCCAGCCTCCCAGCCAGATCAGCCTCTTTCAACAGCATCCCTGCTCAGTGGCCCCTGGCATGTCCTCAAGGGGCGGGGGAGCTCAATACTCTATTTCTGAAGAGCTCCTGTCATCAGAAAGTGCTTCCTCACAAGGATCCATGATACACAGAAATGAAGCCTCTGGTTTACTCTGGCTCCGGACATCCATGAGAGGTGATTCCTCTGTTTAAGGTGCTCACGGTCTCGTGGGTTGGCAGATACAACAATGTGGTGACAGTGTATTACCAGCACTATGACAGAGGAAGGTTACACATCCTTCTATATGGGGACAAGTGGAGCTAAAGTCCGCTGCTACTACAGTGAGAACATGTGAAAGTGCTCTGGAGTCAGTAACAACTATATGAACACATACTGACAATGACAATCATAAAAATGATAATAAGGAGAGGCGCCTGATAGTAATTTGGTTAAGCGTCTGACTTCGGCTCAGGTCATGATCTCATGGTCCATGAGTTCGAGCCCCGTGTCGGGCTCTGTGCTGACATTTCAAAGCCTGGAGCCTGCTTCAGATTTTGTGTCTCCCCCTCTCTCCTTGCCCCTCTCCCCCACTCATACTCTGTCTCTCAAAAATGAATAAATGTTAAAAAATGTTTTCTAATAATAATAAGGACAGTAGTAGTGACTGTTTCACGCCTACTTTGTGCCAGGGGCTCCACATACACTGACCTAACTTTGACACAGGCACATAAACTGTATTTCACGGATGAATCATCTGAGCCTCAGAGAGGTTCCAAGTCACTTGTCCAAGGTTATCTGCCTAGTAATAATGCCTGCATTCAAAACCAGCTTCAGAGTCTTTGCTCCTTTTGATCACCCCTGGCCCCCTAAACTCCAAGACGATACAACTCAATTTTTCATCTCAGTGGGGTCACAGATCAAAATCTCTCCCCATCTCTAGAGAGATTCAACAGAAGCCACTCTTGGCCATGGACCCAGAAGGCCTGCTGGGGACTCTCCTTGGCCTTGCCTGCAGCCACATCCTGTCCCTGTAGTCTCTTCTGGTTCCCACTGTCACTCCCCTTCACCGTCGGCAGCAGAGCCCAGCTCTAGTAACCTAGTAGCCCAATTACTAGGCCATCAAGTCCAGTTCCATTTGACTGTGAGTCCTTAAGATCCAGCCACTCCTTTCTAAGATTCTAGTTTATAGTCGGTCTACCTTGGCTGGCAGCAGAGTCACTGTCCTCGGTACCTGAAAGGGCTGTGTCTACTACGGGCAGGGATGTATCAGACTACCTCCCTGAGGAGTGAGACCAGGGCCTTCCAGGCCTGGGTCACTTGAAGTCCCTTTTACCCACTGCTAAGACCAAACAGTGGTGACAGATGCCCTTCCTGACCCAGAGGCTCTTCCTGACACTTCTTTTGATCCAGAATGTCGGGCAACAACACTGCCAAATGTACCTCACAAGCAAAAAAGTAACTGCTTTTGTCTGGGTCACTAATGGCCTTTGGTTTGTGAAACACAAAACTTTTTAGGCCTGACTTGGCCTCACCTTACAGGGCATCTGAGACCTAGTGATGTCTCCTTCCTTGACACGCACTCCCTGGGCTCTGGGCGTGTCTGCCAGTGTGACTGCTCCTTCTCAGGCTCCTCCTCCTCTCCTGCCCCTTACACGGTGGCATGCCTCCAAGCTCTGCCTGTGCTGCCTTCTCTGTCAATTCTAC